AAGTGAATATCAACAAGTTTGATAACGATTTTGGAATTTGGAATATGCAAAATTGAAGATTAGTAATACAAGAAAAAGCTCCATGGACAGATGTCGGGTGATAAATGTAAGAAAATTGGGATCTTTTGGATTAATGAGCCCTTGATGTAGTCTAGTTTATGTTGGCAAAGAACGATGCATGCATTATTGTCAAAGAGTTCTCCAACATGTATGATAAATTATTTTCATCGAATATGGTTTTCTTAATTCAGCAGTTAGTAAAGGCGAAAATAAATGAATGTATGCATGTTTCAGATCACATGAACGAATTTTATTCGTACTATGAGGCAAGAAGATTGTGATATGTTGCATCTGCGGCCTTTTGGTGTAGTCAAGTTTACAATGGCGTAGAAAATGTTGCATACAATTTCATCGAGTAAAACACCATGTTTAGGCGTTGTCCAACATGCATGAAAATTGTTTCTATTGAATAAGGTTTTATTCATTGAATAGTTAGTCAACACGAAGGTCCACAAATATAATCTTTGAGGTACCAGCGGTAGCTCTATTTCTAATTAAGACTTGTATCTTAGTTGTTTTGTATTTTTTTTTAATTGAGTGGGTTGAGAAATATAGGATTTTCGTATGTTGTGGGTTGGAAAATATGAATAGAAAAAAGAACCAAAAACTGATGTGACAGTGGATTGAGTGGGTTGGGAGGGAATGACTCCCTCCTCCCTAAGAAATATCATTGGTACAAAGAATCCAATAGATATGTTAACTAAGGTGGTGAGCAAAAAAGTTGGAGCTTTACACAGACCTTGGCAATCTGTGTCTGTGTGTCATGTATATGTGTAAAACGTGTTTTAGGTATAATTACGAGCACGACACGTAATTAATATGTGTGACACGTGACACGGAACAAATTTGGTAAACACAAACACGACACGAATTGTAAAATTGGGTATCAAACACGAACACGACACGAATAGACATGTTTTTAATCATGTCACACAAAAACATGGATAAATATGAATTTACACGAATTTAATTCATGTTTTATATGCCTCGTGTGTTTATATTTGTCGTGTGTCAACATGAATTTAATTTGTGTATATAAACACAGTTAATTCCGTGTTTGACACGCGTAAGACACGAAACACGAATTTAAAATTTGTGTTGACGCGAAACACGAATTTCTAAAACTCATACATAGAAAACTCATGTCGTGTCAATCGTGTATCAAATTGTCAGGTCAATTTGCATAGCTTCAACTATTCTAGATGATTAATGAGAAGACGTCGAACTAGAAAGGGCATGTTACATTGTTTTGGGTTTACGAGAATTACATGTTGCAGAAGACATTTGGCTTGGTGAACAGCCTCCAAGTAGGAGATTGTTGAGTTATGAAGATTAATGGTTAGCAGAGTGAGTGAGTGCTCAGACGATTGCTGGAGTCCAAGGGCACAACACCTCGGTAGGATTTCGGGCCCATAATCTTAATTGATGCAAGTTTCATGTAATTGTAAACCGATTTACTACAATTTCAGTATGGTTTTATACCGGTTTCAGTTTTAACCGGTTTATGACTGAAATTAAACAGTGGTGCGCATAATCAGTCCAATCTTTTTTAGAATTGGTTCAAATGATTCAGTTTTGGATTGTTTTGTTCAATCTCTAAGTTTACATACATACCCGGTTTAAAGAAAACCGAAAGCCCAAAATCAATGGCCTTTAAAGGAGCTGTTTCCTTCTTGTTTCCAAACAGAAAATTCTCTGGTTTAAGATCACGATGCATAACTCCATGACTATGACACATCTGTAATCAATTCAAACAATCCAATCATCAACAAAAAATCAAACAACAAAACCCAAAAACAAAATCGATCAAATCAAATCCAAACCTGAACAATTTCCACAATCTTTCTCATAATCGAAGCAGCAGCTCGTTCAGTATAACGTCCTCTTGCCACAATCCGATCAAACAATTCACCACCTTCACACAACTCCATGACAATATGAACTGCATCATTATCCTCATAAGTATCTCTCATAGTGACAATGTTGGGATGTTTAGGCAAATGCTTCATGATTTCAACTTCTCTCCTCACATCATCGATATCAACTGTTGTTCTAAGCTTCCTTTTTGATATCGATTTGCAGGCTAATCGTTCCCCAGTTCCCAAATCCGTACACAAACACGTTACCCCAAATTCGCCCCTTCCAAGCTCTCGACCCAGATTGTATCGCTGTGTAATGTCGTGACCTGTGGGATCTTTTAATACGAAGAAAATGGTTTCATTGTTTTGAGATGCAGATGGGTTGTGATAATCGACTGAGAAAGGATTCGGTTTGTGATTTCCCCTCCTCTTCTTCTTCCTCTCCTTTCTACGAGCGGAATTACCAGTAACACAGCAATTTCCCATGATTCAAACTGGTCTAATCTTTCCAATTACTTTCCGAAGAATTCTGACTAAAAAAAAAACAATCAGTCCGTTGATTGAAATCAAAACAAATACGAAATGAGAGAGATAATGTGAAGATACCTGTGCGAGAATTTGTGAAAAATAGTAAAATACCATTCGTTTTGGGAGATCAATGGGTGAAAATTGGAGGGGTGGTGTTGAAAAGTCAAGAGATTTGAATGAATGGTGATGAAAGAAGGGTTTGTTTTGTTGAATTGTTGGGGGTGTTGTGTTGTGTTATTCAATCGGCCATGGATGAAGCATGAGATGAGATGATGATATGAATGAGAGAGAAGGAGAGTCAAAAAGCTCTTTAACAGACTTTTCTTTCTCCCTCCAAATTCCCTCTCGATTTCTCTTGGTTTCTCCTGTCTCTCTCCCTGTCCTCTTGTTATCAAAAAATGTTCCTTTCAAATGATGGTATTTGCCTTTTATACCAAATATATCAACCAATTATTTACTTCAACAAATTAATTTTCAAAAAATAAAAAAGTATTTCTTGGTGCAATTAAATCCCAACAAAGTCCGTTTATCATATAAATGAAAGAACATTAACAAATTTTTTTGTTAGTTTAGTTAAACAAACAAAACATGAACGATGATTTTGTTTGTTTATTTAGTTTTATGAATATTCGTTTATATTCGATTATTGTATTACATTATATATAATATTATACAGTGAGGATGAAAATATAGCTTCTAAGAATGGTTCAAGTTTTTGAACTTTTTAAATATGGTAAACATATTAAAAGTGACACTAACCAAAATATTAAAAATGTTGAACATCAAGTTTTAAAGATCTTGATGTGAATGATTACCCTCATTTTTATGTTTTGTATATGTTTCGTTTATTATCTTAATGAATATAAATGAAGGACAAAAACAATAAAATATGTTTTTTATCTGTTTTTGTTTGTTCGGTTGAACTTAAACAAACGAAAATGAACAACTTTTTGTTCATGTTAAGTTTAATTCGTTTAGAACCATATCTCATACTAAGGTGTATTTGATTTTTTTAAAGTTATCTTTATTTTACTATATTGAGCATCACATAATCCACTTTATATACATGTAATCTTATAAAACAAACGTAAATAAGTTTAGATCAACTTTTATATGGTGTAAAATGTTTCATATATTGCAGTAATTTAACCGTCTAGTTCAAGTTATAGCTTCTCATGTTAAATATTGTTTACATTTATGACTACGATAAAATATATTGAACCCTCAATATGCCATAGTACCTTCGTCAACATGTCTACTCCATATTTCACAACATGTTATTAGGTTTTACATTGTTTACTTTTGCTAGTTTCTATTACAACGGTATTATTGGATATGAGAATAAACAAATCATATTGTCGAGGAAGCTAAAGGTTTTTGGACTCAATTTCATGTTGAAACGATAAAAATAATAATGATTTAGGATTTTGAGCATGTTGTGTCAATACACCTACAATGAATTTCTTTTCATCATACAACACGTGATTGGAAGATGAACGCTTTTGGGCTCAAATTAATGTAAGATTATGGAAAGATTAAAGATTTACAATTCAAAAAATGTCGGTTTTGATTACTTTTTAGTTGATGGCCAAGTTGTTTAGTGATAAAGGCATCTCTAACCCTACACTAAAAAGTCATTTTTTACACTATAAATTACACTATATATAATATTGAATTTTAGCGTAACACTATATATAGTGTTGGATTTTAATGTAACACTAAATATAATGTTGAATAAAGAGCAATATACCTGGAATATTCTTTTGGGTTTTTGGCACTGTAGCAAAATAAAGTTTGGCGAATTTACACATTTAATCACTCCAGTATTTTTTGTGCCTAATAGACCATTAAAGTTGAATTTTACCTATAAAATTACACCATTATATGACCTGGTATATGAACAGCCAGTTACTTGAGTGACTAAATACGTAAATTCGTCAAACTTTGTTGTGCTACAGTGCCAAAAAAACAAACCCACATATGTCAAGCCACGTCAGCATGTCATCCGTAAACCGGATACAATTTCCCCTAAAACCCTTAATTAGTAGGTATTTAAGGACCAGTTGAGCACAAAAAATACTTGAGTGACTAAATGTGTAAGTTTGCCAAACTTTGTTGTGCTACAGTGCCAAAAACCCAATTCTTTTTACTGTGATGTATAGTGTAATGGATTGGAGGACTTTAATGTATCACTGTCTTTTACACTATAATTATAGGTATAATGTAAAAAAAAATAGTGTTAAGGGTTGGAAATTGTCTAAGTCATCAACATGATACTCCAATTAAGACAAATGATCATTTGGATTGAGACAAGTGATCATTTTATTATTTTATTATTTTATTGTCTCGTAGTCTCTTCCAAAGAAAAAGAAAACATGATTAACTAACTACAAACATCATACAACATGTGAAATATGATTAAAAAAAAGAGACTTTTTTAATGTTTGCTGTTTAATGTCTCTTTTTGGCTTTCACTTGAGAGTATTTTGTGTTAATTAAGAACTCAAGAAAGTAAAAAAAAAAGTTGCAAAGTATAAACTTCATCCATTCATTCTACTATATCATGGGTTTACCAACATTGTCCTTACGACCCAAAAAGTAAAATAATTTAATGTCACAAACATATACAATGCAGCTTATACTTATAGCATTATACAAATCAACATCCAAAACAAAGTCAAAAACGGTATGTGACATCTAATAATTCTCTTCCATTCAAGAATCATCAGCCAGAAAACAACAAACTTTTAACAGAACAAGTAATCTTGATATAGAAAAATGAACCTGGTTTCCCTCTTTTACCCTTCATACACTCTTTTCCTGAAAAAAGTCAAAAGCAAGATAACCGAGTCAACTCATGCATTCAGACAAATTGAACAAAGTCAAACAAACACTTACCACTTTCACATCATTAGCTAACCCCAAATCAGAAAGCGAATTCACTGATACACAATTTTCATGCACAATTACACCCCGGGTCCCACCATTGCCAATATTTAAATAAGCAGCTCTTTTAAACATCCATTTATTCCTTTCTTGATTATAAAAATCACCAAAAATTTCTCCACACAAAACACACACAATTTGGGTTTCATCTGCAGTAACCATCTGTTCACCATCAATCAAGAATGTTTCTTGTGTAGTTGACCCAGGGTCAAAGTCAAAGTCAGACTCCCCGTTGACCCAATTTTCAGCTTTCAAAAACCATCTCCTTGATGATTTTGTATTTAGAGTGTTGGATTCTGAATTTTTTAACACATGCCACTCCATATGATTATCGAATTGTTCTTCAGCTTTGAATCTTAACCCACAAATCCCACATTGATGTGGAAGATCATCAATGAGTTCACTAATCACACAAGGATTAAACTCCCTAATCACATCAGGCTTAAACTCTAATCCTACAACACTCTTATTATTAATAACAACACTCTTTGAGGAAACTTTTGGAGGAAGTTTTCGAGTTTGAGTAACAATGACATCATCACTTTTGTTATTATTAATTTTATTGTTGTTGTTGTGTTTGTTGTTGTTTTTGTTGTCTTCTGATGCAGAGATTAAACCCTTTGAGAGCAATGTACTCAAAAGACTTGAGACATTTGATTCAGGATTTGGAAGAGTTGTACTCTGTGTTGTTGGAGTAGTACCAAGAAGAGATGATGAAAGTGATGTGCTTTCATGGGAGGATGGGATTTTGAGAGATGATGACATGGATTGAGTGGTAGTTTTTTTGCCAAAAATGCTGCTAACAGCAGCTAATAAACTACTTGTGGATGATAATCCTGGTATATCTGCAACTACAGGTTTTTGCTGACGTGGCACTGGTAAGGGTTTAGGGGGTTGAGGTTGAAGTTGATGTTGAAGTTGAACAGAAGGTTCTGATACAGGTTCTTGATGAGGTGGCGGAATTGGCGCGCGTTTTATTGGGTGTAAATTTTGAAGTTTTGATTTTTGAGAATCTTGACTTATTTGCCCCTGAGATCGAGCTGCTTTAAGAGATTGCAAAGAGATTCTGGATAAAGAATCAAGACTTGTTGACACTGACACCCCACTTGAAGAGGAAGGGAAAACTTTAGAACCATGTAACAAGTTTCTAGAAGCACCTACAAAAGCATTTTCGTCTGTCAAAAATGACCCTTTTGCCCTTAGTGAAGTAGAAGGTAAAGGTATCCGCTGTTCTGCAGATGGTAGATCAGGTGAAGATTCTTTCTCATGCATCCGTTGTGATTTCTGAAGACGATTATCAAAACCCTAGAAAGAAAAAAAAAATACGTTTCAATGTATTTATGTAAGGAAAAGAATAAGGGTAATTCCGTCTTTTAGACTTACCGGTCTATCGGGGTCAAAATACAGTCTAGGATCTCTCTTTGAACTATTGGAAGAGGTAAGAATAGGATTCACTGTTCTTGAGCTCACATCATCCCACAAATACTCTTCTTCCTCTGAATTCTTCCAACTCCTACTCACTTCACCACTTCCTTTTATAAGATTGTTGATAGGTTGTAATTTCACATCAGGAATTGAAGATTTATGGAGTGAATAATTCGATGATAACCCATGTCCATTTCTTTCATACCATGTCTTTTCAAGTCCTTGTTCTCCTACTCTTCCATTGGATTTTCCAAAACTACCCTCGGAAGGGCTTGATATATCAGAACCAAATTCATAATTCTCGTGTGTAAGATCACTCTCTGGATCTCTTTGTGCCTGCTGACATGGCAAAGCATAGATAGAACATTTTTTAGAATTATTGTCAAATATTAACATATTTATAAAGAGTTTAAATGGTTAGTAATAGTATGATTAGTATCATACATGCAATTTTAGGCGAGGATCAGCACGAGTTGTGGGTATGTCACTGGATGCAACTTTTGGCTTCATGAAAGATGAAATTCAATGAGTGATGATGACAAAAATGATTTAGATGAGGTTAAAAATGTAAACTTTAATGTTTCTTTACCCTGTTTGATTGTTGGAGTTTTTGTCTTGCCTCCAAATACTTGGGATTTACATGAATACTGCGAGCAGGGCGTTGTGGTTGTGAGTCAGGTCTAGATGTGGTCAACCCTGAAGAGGAACCATTCCCATTCCCATTCCCAACTGTTGAAAAACCAAGTTCTTTTTCTATTGATTGAAGTGATTGAGGTGGAAATACTCCTTTCCATGTCCCAAAAAGATGTCGCATTCCAGAATGTAATGCAGAATCAACCTGTCTATATGCCTTGCAAAATACCTAAAAGATTGAAGAAGTAAAGAAAGTGAATTGATTTATCAGAGGGACATAGTTAAGAAAACAATGGAACTGAAGAATGAAGATCTAACCTCAGGGAGTTTGGTGGAAAAGTGTCTGATGTAATCTCGACCAATGTTCTTCACGATACTGTCAAGAAGATATAACGATGGCAACTTTTGATCACTCGGAACCTAAAAATGTGAAAATCGTTTTTTGTTACAGTGACAGTGGTTATAACTTATAAACTTATAATTATAACCAGCTAGCTCTACACAAACATAGTAACAGAAATCATCACCTCGATAATGTTATTGCAGATAGTAGCAGCAATAGCTTTAGCAGCCTGGGCGTTTTCTCCGGCGATGATAGTCAAGTTCGTTATGATTGGTTTCGAATTGAAAGTCAGCTCCGATAGAGCTGTCCTATACTGACTCACAAGCTCTTGATGTTGTTGCTGTTTTATCTGAGATAGCGATTGTGGCTGATACGACTCGGAGTCTCCATCTCTCTCCACCGCCGGCCGGAACCCCACTGACGGCCGTTGAACTATAGGTCTATTATTACCGTTGGGATTATTATTACTGCGAAGAATCGTTGGCTCTTCCGTTACCAATCGAGGTTTCTTCAGTGTAGCAGGGTTTCGTGATGATCTATCGAATGATCTGCCGCGAGAAGTGTTGTCCATCTCCATTTTTAACACCCCGCCAAATCAATTTTACAAAAATCAAAATTAATCTAATCTAGAATTAGCATGTTGAAGAGGAAGTTTAACTTCCTGTAGAAATTTCATTCGATTCGTTACAACATACAACAAACATTAAAAAGGTAAGCAAATCGAAAACCCTAACCCTAGCTAGAGGCAATTACAAATGCGTAAATCGAGAAAATGAAAAGGGAAAACAAAATCAAAAACGAGACACGAAGAACCGATTGCAGGGTGTTGGAATTTATATGTTCTGCGAGAAAGTGATGGATTTTGTTGGAGATTTAGATGAAGAGATTCGAAAGGCGTCACGTATTCAGATCAAGAGCTGTCGTTAGCACTCGCTCTATTTGTTCTATGTTCAGAATTTCACTGGAGTCTCTCTTTCATGTGCGTGTGTGTGTGGTGTGTGTACTGTGTAGAGTGTAGACCGTTGGTAAATGGTCAAAAAGGAAAAGCCTGAATTGGGTGGGATTAAAGTCCATTTAAGCCTGATATCAGTGGGCTTAAAGTCCAATAATGGGCCATGCTCTTTTAATCCTATAAAATCTGATCCATTTAATCATTCGTTCTTCAATGAGCATTTTCAATTAGAGAAAAAAAAAAGGCTTTAAATTATGTAAAAATAGAGTGTTTTTTTCATGATTTTAAGACTGTTTCATCAATAAATATGCAAATAAGAAAAGATAAGACTATTAAGTATCCCATTTTGTTATAACATTAAAACAGTGTGATCTTACATATCATATCACTTATTATATTATAAGATACTAGTTTATAACCCGTGGAAACCACGGTTACAAATTTAAATTTTCATAGTAAAAAACTTAAAACTATTAAATATTTATTTTAAATAAATTATTAATTAAGATATATTTTTTAGTTATATAAAATTATAATAGTTGATTTAAATAAATACATGAAACTATATCACCTTATAATTTTATTAGTTTTATTTTGACTTTTATTCTAGATTTATTTTAATTTAATGTAATTAGAAAATTAAAATTTGAAATTTGAAATGGAAAATCAATGGGTTGACGAATGGTATAACATTAATTATAAGGTCTAATGGGATTACACATGTCAAAAGGAGAATAAACTTATTCTTTTATTAGAATGAGGAGATTATGGTATGGTCGCGTGTTATAATATTAAATAACTTTAATGTAATAATTTATTTTTATTTTTTTTGAATTTTTTTTTATAATTATAAAAACAAATATAATTTTACTAAACTTAATATTTAAACAAAACATAATATTTAAATTAAACATAACATTAAAATTTATAAAAAAAAAAATTTTTAAAAAAAAGCATTACACGACAGAAAAAAATACATTTTTCCTAAATAAATTAGTCTTCATCGTCGTTACCATGGTATATATGATCCATCAAGTCTTCTCGAAGTTGCATGTGTTTTTGTGTGTCTTGGATATCAACTCTTCTATGTAAATATTCATATGTATATGGTTGAAATTGCATGTGTCTAGATTGTAAGCATATAATCTGCAATATTTCGTATTTTATCTTTAACAACCATGTTATGCATTATGATACATGCATATATAATATCTCATAGAGTTTCCATCTCATATGTCGTAGCTCATTGGTGTAATATCCGTACATCATATTGATAAACACATCATCATCTTCATCATAGAAATGGTCAAACAGATCCATAATTTTTTTTTTAGTAAATATTGAACTTGTATTAAATATAGAGAAAGAAAAGAATAATGTAAATAAAAGTGAGATAGATGGTACGTATTTATTGGAAAAAATAATAATAATAATTTATTTTAAAACTTGATCTTTAATGGTCAAAGCAAGAGGTGATTGGTTGATATGAGGCGTTGCACACCGTTGTCCTTATGGTGTCGTTTTGGTTAGTCCACACGTTGACATTAACGTCGTTGTTGAGTCTCATACTCGACACTCTAAGACTATTAGGTATGGGCAACTTGAAGTGGTGTTATAACAAGAAGCAACAAGAAGGGGTGTGGTGTTCATGGTGTTATAACACTCGTTAAGAGGAGAGAGATAGATAGAGAGAGAGAGAGAGAGAGAATTTGTGCAGCCAATAGAAGATCACGTTTCATCTAGTCATGACCACAACACGAAGCAACACAACTAGATACAACAAGAAGGGGGGTGGGTTCATCTTGTTATGACTAGGTTATGAGGTGTCACATCAGCAATAATAGCATTTCTCGTTGTCCATACTATATGCTCTAAGAAATATGTGTGTTGTGTATTGAGACATCTTACGGCCAATAATAAGGCGTTTTTCCATAGCTTAAAATGACTTATTTTTCAATCCACTTCCTAATTTCATAGATGTCATCGGGATCTGGAACAGTGGATCTTTTGGACATTTTTAGCTATTTTTTAAAAAGTAGCAATAAGATTAATCTATTTTGTCTTTTTCTCTAAACAATAATAAAAAATTTTATTCATACAAAACTCATTAATAGGAAACATTAAGATAATGTGATTCAAATATATATATTTATATTGAATCATAATAATTCAAATTTTATCTCGTAACTTGCATTAATAGATTATCACCACTACAAAATTTCAACTTCGAACATTCTAATAATAAATATCTAGTTTGTAATAAAAAGGAACTATTGTTCATACTATTCAATTTTCAACAGATTACAACTAATATATCGAAATAAAATTTCAATATTTATTAAATCATAAAGGAGCTATGAACCAAACACGCATGTAATATTTTGAATAACATATAATCTTTTAATATTTTAATCTTGTAATTTTATTCATGTGGAACATGTATATTCATCTAGTATTCAAATAAATGAAGACGACAGAAAGATTAGTTATTAAACGTTTTACATAACTTAGATCAACCGAATATTCATATCAATGTATAATGTACTTTTTTTTTGTCTTTTCAAGTCTAATTTGAAATCAAATTCAACGTTTCTATAACAAAAACAACCCTAATGTTTAGGGCTTTCTCTATATCTTTCTTGTTAAAGATTTGCATCAATGGTTAATTCTTCGTGATCATTTTAGGTGTTATTTATGTGTACAAATAGTATTCTAAAAGTTAAATCAGTAGCTAATGTGACTTTTTGTAAGTCATACAAACAAGTGAAGTGTTTTTTATAACTAAATCACTCTACAAATTCTTGTAAAACATCAATTTTATATAATTGAATAGTTTAGATGCTTGGGTAAATATACAAGATGTTCTTTCTTGCTATATATAAATAAATAAAAAGATCGAATTTTTTTTTTAAATGATGGCATACAATAACTTTAAGCTAACAAGGTGCAAGTGAATTGATATGCTTCTCGACTTCCGATTAGAGCACTGATTCTTCCACGGCTTATTTTTATTCATCCACATAATTTTATTGTTAGTTGACAAAATTGCCCCTGATGACTCCATCTAAAAACTCTGTAAGTGTGACGCCCTTGTATCTGTCACATGCTTCTTCTTTCCTCGCCGACAACCCCTTTTCCTGCGCCAAACCTTTTCTTTATCGTTGTAAATCCATCCTCATAAATGGAAGCAAAAATACTCCCTTTTCAATACAACCAAACGATCCAAAACCCTACCTAGGTTAAAAGATCATTATTGATGGTGATCTTACAACATGAAGAGGATGAAGAACATCAAAAACTCTCACGACCAAGGATTAAGATGAAGGTTTGTATGGAAGGAACTTGAGCAACATTGGGTCTCTTTTCCCCTTTTCGACCCAAAAGACCACCCCTATCTCATCGTTAGTCATCCTTGTTCCATTGAAAAAGACGATGACGGTGAAGACGATGATGAAGATCGTCGACTATGCACACAAACAAACCTGGGAGAGACCCTTTGCCGGAGATTTCGCCTTCAACCCTTGTGTTTTATCTATTTTGGGCTTTTGTTGTGGTGGTGGTGTTCAGAGATTTCGTCGGAGGTGATTAGCGGAGATGTTCTAGAGATTTCTAATGGTGATGTTGGTCTGAGATTTTCACCAAACAACATTTTACTCCATAAACACCATTGATGGCATCACTTGCAGGTGCAGGGGGAGTTAAATCGAAGAACTGATTACAAAACAATAAAAAACGTTTTCACTGTCAACAATTTTCAAAGGGTTATTTTTCAAAGTTTTCAAATTGTTTAATGTATTTCCAGCAAGCAAACCAAAAGACGGGAAGAAGGGTGAGTCACCGGCATACCCAAGAAGGAAGAAGGAGCCTCCTGTGTTTGGAAATAAATGTTTGGGTTTCTCTCTCTTCTTTAAATCTAACAAGGGGCATAGTTGTCAATTATGTTTAAAATTCAGTGGATAGATAAAAAAGAGATGTGGAAAAATCAACGCCCTTCCGATTAACATACACATCATAAGTCTATAATCAGACAATATAAGGAGTTACTAAAATTAGCATCGATGTATCGATATTAGAACATGATAACTAATAATATTTAATTTGTTTTTCATATCATTTATCATTTAATTGCATTCAACAGACAAACAAACAACTTTTTGGTTAACATTGTAACCAGATCTCAAAACATTGTCATATTAAATATAATTAGAAGATAATTAATTTGACAAAAAAAAGTAATTACTATTTATAATTAGATAATATTAATCGCAAAATTTTAGCATAAGCTTCTTAATAATATAAACCTAGTAATTAGTAAAGATTTAACTATTACTTACTGTGATTTATTCAGAAAAAAACAATGCAAAAGTAAAAAATTATTATTTATTATTTCATTACAGAGAATCCTGTATTAAAAACGAAAATATACTTTAAAAAATAACGAATAAATAAATAAATACACCGACCAAAGCCCCATGGCCGGGCCCATCCAGGAGTCCACCAGATTTCTCTCGACTCCCAAAATCCAATTGGCTAATTTAAAGCCTTAAATTCCAAGTAACAAAACGACGACGCATTAGAAACTGTCGTCAACAGTTAGAAAAAAATCCACCTGCAACAAAAAATATCTGCCGACCCTTCCTCTCCGAAACTTCTCCGGACGAACATTAACAGTATCATTCCTCCACCGCCTTTCTCAAGATATTTATCAAACACCTTGTCTGCACTACATGCCTATATATACATGGCTCAATTCTACTATCACTCCTCAGTCATCGCCCACCATTTTCATCGTCATCTTCTTCATTTCAACCGATGGATCATCGTCCCTACAAACGCTCACTTTCATCTCCTTCGTATCGCCCACATGGGTCTCATCCGTTACGATTTGGTTCGTCTTATATTTCATTAATTCTCTCATGCTCTGGTTAAAAGTTTATATCTGATTGCTTTTTAATGGAAATCGATAAAAAAAAAATTCTGTCAAAGGCTTTTGGTGAGTAGTAATGTTCCTTATTTTCATGAAGCTACTCGCTTTTCTCACAATTTTCAATTTCTCACAAGCATTGTTTTACCTCTACTACTAGCTAATGCTTCAATCTGACCAATTACGCATTGTTTTACCTCTACTATTTGCTAATGCTTAAACCGATGATGATTCTACTTTGCATAAATTAGTATTAGAAACTGTAATTTCTTTGAGTGATTGGTCCTTTTTCTTATGGCGCTACCTTGTTCTTCGTTGAATTCGAAAAAGTTCTCAATAAGCTACTCTGTTTTCTGGTATTTTTATATACAGAGTTCGAAAAGTTCTATCTCATATTTTGATTTGTTCTGATTGATATATTGCTGTCTAATCACTTTTTGTTGACAATTGACCACAGAAAATGCTGTCGTAGAGATTGACGAAGGGGATGTTCATCATCTCCCCCAACCCCTTGATTGTTTAATCGGGACACCAATTCCGCCATTTTTGTCAAAGACCTATGATTTGGTGGATGACCCGAGATTAAACCATATCATCTCATGGAGCGATAATGGCGCAAGCTTCATTGTGTGGGACCCAGTGGAGTTCGCAAGGGTAATCTTGCCAAGAAATTTCAAGCACAACAATCTTTCAAGCTTTGTGAGACAACTTAACACATATGTGGGTATATATTTGCTTTAAACACTAAACCCCTAATTATGGGGTTCACTATGTTAGTCCGTATGTACATTCTGAACTTTTTCTACTTCATATCTTTCACCCTTTTTTTTCCTTCAGATTTTCATGTCTTTCTTTTGTTCTATACATCTCTAGCATAGTGTTTTTTGTATATCATCTTTTGTCTTTTCACCCCTGTAAATTTCTCATTGTAATCTGATACTTGACATAAATAATGAAGGTGTTTTGTTTCTTGATATCGATTCTCACTTATAGTTTTACTGGTTTTTTTATACTTATATCAAGTCAAATTATTCATGTTATATTATTCCTCCTTTTTGCATTTGTTTGAACATATGTATATATATCAAGAACTCTTCTTTCTTTCTTCAATCTTCATTGCGCTACATTAATGAGATGCACTGTTTATATTGTGAATATTCCTGCAAGAAGGATTATATTGTTGCAGATAGATTTTCAGTGTCTGGACTCTGGTAAACCGTTAAAAAATGCTAATTTTTACTCTTTTGTAACAATTATTGTTCAATTGTGCTAATAATCTATATCTTTTTCATGTTTTTCTTTAATCTTTTGCATCTTCACTACTAAATTTTTTGTGGGTGATTAATCGAGTTCAGGGTTTTCGCAAGATTGATACAGACAGGTGGGAATTCGCGTGTGAAAGCTTCTTAAAAGGAAAAAGGCATCTCTTGAAGAACATCAAGAGGCGCAAATCACAACAGATTGAAGAATGGAATTCGAATTCCAATTCCATTGAAAACGAGGTGGAAAGATTACAGAAAGAGAAGATGGAAATGATGCAAGAGGTAATGAAGCTACAACAACAGCAACGTGGGACTCATGAGTATATGGAATCAGTGAATGAAAAGCTTCAAGCTGCTGAAAACAGACAAAAGCTTATGATTTCATCTTTGGCTAAAGCTTTCAAGATTCCAACACTGTTAAGGAATCGCATTTCTTCTCAAAGAAGGGTTCGTAAGTTTGTGAAGCATCAATCCCATGATCAGGATCTTGGATTTGATCCAATTCCAGTTGATGACAATGTTTGGAATCCTGATTCCGATTCCGGTTTAAAAAGTATTGATTTACATGAACTCGGTCAACCCAAAGATTTGACTAAAGAGAGCGCTGTTGTTCTTGATGACTGTGTAGTTAAACAGGAAGATATTTGGAGCTTGGATTTTGAAACGATTGCTGGAATTCCTCATTCCAATGACTGGAATGATGTTGGAATTCCTCATTCCGATGAGTTGGCGGAGTTTGGTGGTGGAGATTTTTCTGATTTCTGGGATTTAGCAGCTTCCGGTGGTGAACATGGTGAAACTAGTAAAAACCAATACGGGTTTTGAATCATAGGAGTTCTGAAACTGATAAAAATGATTATTATTATTATCCAATAATTTAATTTAAATCTGCATATTTTGCAGTTTACTTATATTTATTACTGAAAGCACATGCTTTTTTTTGTTGCATGTTTCTTCACAAATTGAAATAATTTTTATTTGGGGAGGTGATTTGTTTATAAATAAGTTTATTGGGTTAACAATGATTTTTTTATTTTTTTTGTTGTGTGAATATAATCTTACTGTTTTGTTGTTCTTTTTCCAGGTTTGCTCATGAAGATGCAGGCTAGGGTTTGTGGAGGGAAAAACTTCTTGAACAAATTGCACAATAGTTCAATAGTTCAAGAACAATATTTTTCCAACAAACAATCACAATATTTAAACACGTGGAGGTTTGATTCACTAAAAACAATAAATTGAAATGTATATTTGAAATTGTGTGTACAATATTTGCAATCTTGATATCTTGAACTCAGAGGAGAATATGGATCTAACTCACATTATTTAACCCAAAGATGTTTCTGTTGATAATTCAGACGACTTAATAGGCCTTTTGATTTGTTTCAAAGGTGAGTTTTTTCCATCAAGTTCTTACATTTAAGATGTCTTATCCCAATTTAATAGAAGTCCTATCGTTTAGTTTTTATGAAAGATCTAGTTTTATAAATTAAAGGAGAATTTCGTATATACCCTTATTAAACGACTAAATATCGTATTTGCCCGACCTAAACTCTAAATATCATATTTACCCTTATTAATGTTTTAAAATATCAAATTTGCCAAAATATATTTTTTTAATAGTTTTTATCATTAAATAATCTTTTTCTATAATTTTACATTATTATTATTGTCAAAAACACTGTATGGACAATAATGCCCTTACCAGTTAAACACTCGTATGCAGTCCTCCTTCCCCTGTTGCACTTTTCTTCTTGCAAACAACTATTCACAGCAGGTAATTGTAATTCCTCCATATTCCTATTTGACCTCTCTCCATCACATTTCATGCTTTTGATCAATTTTTACTAAGCTAATAACCATCAGGTAATTATGATTACTATTATTTATGTTTGCATGTGATCATAAACCTCATGTTGCAAGACAGTATATCTAAACTGAAAATATTGAAACTATTGGTAATGTTTTTGATTAATCTTTAACAAGATAATAAGCATCAGGTAAACACTTCACTGTCTCTTGGGTTGCCTCGCTTTAGTTCCTCCGCCACTGCTAAAAAATGCATGTAACAATAGTAACAAACTCATAAGTCTAAAATGAAAAGTCAAAATGCACAGTCAAGTCTAATGATTTCGAATTTATAACCTGTTCAACATATATAAATTCCAATTATTGTCAACCAACAGAGCTTGAACCATAGAATCAAGCACGTTTTGAATGCATGCTCCCTGTAGCAATTTACTTTACTCTAGCTACCAATATTGGCAATACTATGAAATTAAGCTTGTGATTTGGAGTCTTGGCCTAAACAAAGGGCATATATTGAAAGGGAATTGTGAAATTAATACATGAGTATCAACAATTCGAGATTCTTGTGATTGTCACATAAGTGTTGATTATGTTGCCAAAAAGAATGAGATATAACAAAGGGGAATATTACCTGAAGCTTATTAATGATTGCAAGAAGAAAATGACGAGATGCAAGAAGGAAGATGGCGATAGGTGAACAATAGTGAGGAGGGCGGCTTAAGGAAGAACACGATAGTTATAAAACATAGTGTAAAAGATCCTGTGATTTAGAATAGAAAGGTATTATGGACCATTTAATTATTTTTTTTAGTTTTAGTGGTTTAAAATTATAAAAAATGATTATTAAATAATAAAAATTGTTAACTTATTTGGGCAAATTTGATATTTTAAAACATTAAGAAGGACAAATATGATATTTATAGTTTAGGTCGGGCAAATACGATATTTAGACGTTTAATAAAGGTATATACGAAATTCTCCGATAAATTAAAATGTAAAGGGGGTAACAAGAGTGGCTAAACAAGACTTCTAATAAAAAACTTATTTTTAACATGAGGTGAGCTTATCTCTTAAAAGAACTCTAGATTTAAGAACAAAAACTTTACCTTTTAGTTTTTTTTTTTTTGTAAAATATTAAGAAAATCTGTTTTATAAAATGTTCATTTAAAATATTTGAATAAATAATTTTTGTAAAGTATTTACAAAATCTATTTTTTAGAATCTCCATTTAAACATTTCAATAAATAGTTAGGAAGTATTACCGTCAAATGGTTTAAATTTAACATTGATGCGGTCTTTTTTATCAACGAGATTATATTAAGTGACTAGCAAGAAGGTGGCAACAAATAAAGCAAATTACAAAGACATGTTAGCTAAGGTCGAGTTGTGCAACAACCAGAACAGTTTATCTTAAAATAAAATCAAGTCCATCACAAATCCAGAAAAAAAAAAGATTGAGAAACTATGCCAAAAAATAATTGTTTGTCTAGGTTTAGATGTTCCAATGAGAAGATTGTTTTGAAATTTTCAAGCTATCCAAACAACAACAACAATTAGGGATGAGCATCGATCCAAACTAGGGCCGAAAACCAAAAAATCGGGATATGATTTAGTGGGAAAAGGAGAACCATAAACCGGAATGAATAACCCGGTTCGGTTCAGTTTTATAAGTAAGTGTGCTCTTTAGGGATGTGTTCGGTTTCGGGTCCTGCCAGAACCGGGCCGAGAACCGAAGAACTGATAACCGATTTTAAAGGGAAATGGAGAACTGAGAACCAGACCGAACACCTCAGTTTCAGATCTAGTTTGGCTCCCGTTCTAATTTTTCCGGTCCGGTCCGGTTCAGCAAGTCAAATGCTCATCCCTAGTAACAACCACATTGTCAAATCATTTGCGTTGCATCTCATTTAACTTCAGGTTGTCAACCCATTTAATCCTATCAAAAACCGTGCCCAAGTTTAAGAGGTTTGAGTTCAACTACCAAGCAATAAGTCTTCAAATATCCATAAAATATCCATAATAGACAACACCTAGGAAAATGTAGCTTGCCCGTCTTTGTAGCATAAGGCTTTGCGGTATGGATTGGGTTTGGCTACGCGTGGTGCCTATGTGGCACCTCTACCCACACGTGAACACCGCCCCAATGGGGAGTAGGTATCTTGTGGCGTGGTACCGGCTACGGAAGGAGACGTGGGCTTTGATTGGTGGAAAATTTGTTTGTGTCTATCTCTCTCTACATTCTGTCTCTTATTCACCACCACCTCACTAGTGAACACTGTTTCCACAACCTAGTGGATTGGTTGTGGAATGGTTAAAATAATGACATGGCATGCTTTCACTCCTTTCTCACGCGTAAGGATACCCCTCACCCTAAACACGAAGGGGATAAAGAATATATTCCAAGTCAATACCCTTATCATCGAGATTCACACAAGTAGGCATGCAACCAATAACCATCTGCTACATCATTATATTCAATTTGATAGGGAGCAAATTGTTTTATCTAGTTAAAGCCTCATTTGAAGGCAACGTCTAGAATCCAAGAAGTATTGTGTCAAAGCAACCGAAAACACACCTGAAGACTACAATAACCAGTCCAATTTGTCATGATTTTTAGAAAAATCAAACATCTATAAAACTACAACCAACCCTACCATTACTCTTCTTCGGCCCCACCTCTTGGCGATCTTCTCAATAAATCTTTCCATGTGACAATCAAGAACAAAAACCTTATGAAATTGTTGGTAAAACAGATGGTTCCCACTCTAAATATCAAAAAACTAGATTCTAGTATTTCTCTCATTTCCCACCCCAATCATACAAAATACAAAATTCAGTAAGATCCAAACCTTTATCTTGAATATTTTTTGCATATCACGAACTATGGTATCCCAAGGACTTCTTAGAACATTCACAATCGCCTCAAACTCACCATGTATTACCTTTATGACACTAACCCAAAGTGAGTCGCCACAATGAAATAAACTACGCCTACATTTAAACAACAAACAGTGGTTAAGGGATGGAGATTGCATATCTAAGACCACCCTTATTTTTACTAGCCAAAGACTTTTGCCAACTAATTCAAGATAACTTTCACTCTCCAAGAGTATCTCTCCAAAAGAATCGTGCTTGAACGGATTCCAATAAATCCAACACCATAGTTGACACTTTATAAATGGACATGTAGTATGTCCCCAAGCTACCTAAACCAATCGCCATTGATAACTTGATTTTCAATATTTATTTTAGCATGCATTTGATTTTAGTTTTAGCATTTTTTTTATATTTCTTTTTTCATTAAATTGTTATATTTATTGTTTTGGATACTTTACTCGTTTAAGCTAACTATGTGTAGATTTATATGAGAGGGATGGTATTTTGGAGCATCGTTAAAGGCACATCGAAGGCCTTGCAACCACGATTGAAGTCTCGTAACAAAATCCGTGAGCGAGAAGAAAAACCAAGCAATATAAAGAAATTTTCAGATTTTGACAACACGACACGATCTTTTTCAAGCAATCAGACAAAGGGCAAATGTTTTCCGATTGAGTTTAAACTTTACATGTGTCTTCCCTATTAGTGTATCCCACATCGGTGCAACACATATTTATAGGTGACTATATACGTTGGAGTCTCCCCTCTTTCCACGATGGCTCTTTTGGAGAGACAATATTTGGCTCCACATATATTTACATTCCTAACTCGTTGATCTTCGATCTAACCGCAAATGAGTAGATTCGAACGACGTTTGGTCTGTTTTTTGGCCTCGCGAACAGCATGACATATTGGCTAGTTTCAACTATGGCAACCCAATATAAAGAGCCAAACTTCCATATTTTTCATCAGCCTAGTTGTAATATGGCAACCCATTTTGGGTTGTGTTGGTTGGGAAAAAAACACAAGGTAGTGAAAAAAAGGGCATTACATTACATCAAACATACAAAATCACTTACATGCAGTAGGTTAGAAGGATGCCAACACCTTCTTGGTGCCTCATTTCTTTTCACCCTTTTTAT